GGTTACCAAACCCCCGCTTGTAGTCAGCCCAGCCGCGGTAGAAATCAACCGAGCCGTCCAGTCTCTTTTGGAACACTGTCCACCCCCCTCCGGTTGTTGTTTGGTCACAGAACACATCAAAGGCACCTTGACCATCAGGGTCGATTGTATAAACACTGCTGATTCTTTCGCCAGCTTTGTAAAGCTCAGCACAGTTCTTTTTAGCTGTTCAGAAAAGATTGACTTATATTATTTTCAATTGTGATTATGCGCCGGTTTTGAAACCCGCACTGCCTAATTACACAATTTACTCTATTTCTCTCCCGCTATCCGTCACTCCCATCCCTAACATTATAAAGCCTCCTCTCCCGGGCCTCACGAGGGTATGCAATGCACGTATTTCCAGTTATGAAAATGACAAGGATGTTCGGCGCCTAGCATGCATAGGGAAAGAATTATTGCAGATTTTGGTCTCACTTACTATGTTTAGGAAAGAAAGGCAACATTTTTATTCATGAAGATATCGCTTAGTGTTATTCGCAAAGAAATGGATAAATGAGATCACACTGTATTAGAGCACGGCTCCTTTAACCTTTTAAACCCTTAGATTAAAATTGAGATTCTCATTTACTGGCCTTATACTCTTTCAATAGAAGTAGTTGGGAGAATTTGTTGAAATATCAGATAGACTCATCTTCCCTGATCATGTACTCAATTCTCATGACCACTCTGTTTTCTAAAGCATTGATATTACAAGGAGAAATTTGATGCTGGTGACTCTTAGGGCTCAAAGGGTGAATTTTTGGGATAAAATAATTCCTGCGCCACACGCAGATTGGTCTCCTTTGGGGGAATAAGAGTCTCCTCAGAGGTAGGAGCCATGTTACTAATAATTGTAGACACCTAGAATATTATTCTATCTGCAAACGATTTCTTAATGAGATCATCAGAGCACAACTGATATTATTTTGAGAAAACTACGTTAATGAACTAAGTCATCGAGGCAGCGATTTTTTGAATCCTGATTATCCTATCTTTTTTCGGTTTTTCACAGACCGACATTCTTTTAAAACCGGGAGAAGTTGCTAGTCTAAATTTTTTTTCCCTTTGTACTAAGTTTTAAAGAAAGTGGATTAAGGCTGTTTTTTTTTTTTATATGGGAATAACTTGCAAGAGTTTGTTAGCCCTAGGTAGGAACGTGATTAAGAATTCCTTCCTTCAGCCACACCACAGGAGGAAGTGCTTTGAGTCAAAGCTCTAGCCTTTCTATCAACAGCCCAAAAACCTAACGTACAGGTTCGAGTTATGAAATCTGTTTTAAAGATAAATAAGTGGTAATCATGCCATTCCCTGTTTATCGAAATATTAAAAACTCTTATGATCATCATGATAACACGAAAAAAATCCCAAGGACTGAATGGCACTTCATGAGTTGGTCTAGGCACACAGACCGTTGGGAATATATACCTTTCTCATTAGTCTTGTTTCCTTTTAGAATATTGATCTCGGTTTGTAGCTGACCCAGTTGTTCCTTTATTTCTTTCAGCATTGTAGCGATCTTCTCGTTCGGCGCCTCGTAGAAATACACATTATTGCAATGTTAGGTTTGATTAGGCACCGAGGCAGCATCTGCAAGTCTCTTTGCTGGTTTAGCGAAAGTTTGCTGGGTGTTCTCAAACAACAGTAAGATCAGAAGACTCCAACTTGAAGACACAAAAACACAAGACATCGTGCTTCTTCACTTTTCCAACTTTGAATGGCAATGTAAAGTCCTAATAAACAATTGAAAACCGCGATTTAACTCAGATATGATCTTATCCAACACAATGTTTTTCCATATGTTTTTTTGGGCTATGGGTGGATACCAAACATTTCTGGACTTTGGAATCTGATATCTGAGCATATCTTGTATTACAGAGTAAATAAGGATAATAAATTCCCTCACATATACTAAACACACATTACTAAATGTGTTCTCAGTCGTGAAATCGCACCCCTCCTTAACACCTGTAGTTTATGTACTAACCATTTGAAGCTATTTTTATTCGTGAAATGTCTTTTACTTCCTTGTTGGATTTCAGTTGACAGTAGTTGTATTACAGCGGACTACTCTTTTGTTCCAAGTGTAAAAGACGTGTGAAACAAAAAATAGGAAACGTGTGCATGCAGGCTTATGGATTAACGCAGAAACAACCACTTTCCATAAATGTCACCAAGAGCTTTTTGGCCAGTAAGTGGACGGCAACGCAAGAAATTCGGACAAAGGTCACCAAGCAGAGCGAAAACTTTTGCGGGTATCACTATCTAGTAATTTAGGTTTCCGCATTCAAAAGAACGCACTTTATCATGAATGCATACACAGCAACTTATTTTTCTATCTTTTAGATCATCGACCCGAAGTATTCCTTCCTAGAATGTATTCGATTATTTACTGATCTGAAAATGAATCCAGCAGTTTGGCGGGGCATGGAGTGGGACCTCCCTTAATTTTTGCTTAGCTGTGGAACTTAAACCTTGGTCCTATTAAAGGGAAATTCATAATGGTAATGCGACTGAGTGGAGTCCAATTCGGCCTTTAATCATATGAGTGATTAGTGAACTTACGTAGCAGGACGGGAGAGGAAAGAAGACGGCAAACTTTGTGTGACAAGCGTGGCAATAATTTTGTTTCAAAAAACCTTTCGCCAAACTTCACCTTTCTTTAAACATGGTAAAGTTTTTCCAATTAGTGGAAAAAAGTTTCGGTAAGAATCGTGTAGACTTTGAAGATTTAGAAAACGGTCAGTAACTTAACGTATTGTCATTTTTTTATGTACAGTTGTAGTCTTCTATGTTCTATGACTTCTTTTACGGCAAAGAAAACTGATACCCCATGAAAGGGAGAATCAACGAAAATTGTGTGAATGGTGGTCTTAATATATTTTCTCTACGGGAGCATTCATAAAGCATGCAGTTCTAGAGCAAAGGTTATGCTAGGGCAGTTCTAGAGTAACTACTCCCTCCCACCTTCCCACGAAACGGAACAGAGCACTCAAGAAGACGCTAGGGGTCAGTTTTTCAAAGCATAACACCTAACGTTTCAGACTGACCGTTTGAAACTGGCTGGTAACAGGAGTTTATGGGCTCTTACCGGTAACCAGTGGTGAGGCTTTCCACTGGAGACAACTTTCATGCCTAGGTTATTTAGATGCTTTAAAAATCTATTCCATATACAAGATTAACATGTCATGTGACTTTATTCATCTATCAATATACCCTACCGATAGCCTGCGTAGCATGGCGGTATTGTCGAGCCGGGCGCACGAGCGGCGTAGCCGCGAAATTCGCGCGCGAAGCGCGAGAACGAGCGGCGAAGCCGCGAGAGTTGCTCCCGCCCCAATCTCGTCGCGGTTTCTCTGCCCTCGCCCGCCCTCATTACTTAGCGCGCCCAACCAAAACCGCCATGCTACGCAGGCTACCCTACCGAAGGAAAGTTAAGTGAAGGCTGGCATAATAACTTGTCGAAATACGTATATCTTTAAATCATACAACTAGAAAAACGGAAACGCCTAGAAACGCTTATTATCCGGCTAACAGCAATTGACTCTACCAATAGTTCTACAACGTTGGTATACCATGGTCGAACTGTCTATCATATTCAAAGTCTATGCTCAGCTTGTTAGGGGTGGTGATCTTCATGGCACTCTAAGATAGCTCTAAAAGTTCACCGGTCTGATCTTCATCTCAGCTCTCTTTACAGAGTAGTAATATCCTTTCCATGCATTCCAGTTGACACCATCAGCATACGATGAATGTGAACCATGGTGATAAAAACCATTCAGATTGGACTGGTGACATCCATGGTACCACCAAGCTCCTTTGAAGGTCAAGGCACAGTTACGGGATGATTCGCTACCATTATCTTTAGTGGCAAATGGCCGGCTACGATGGGAAGATAAAGAGTCACCTGCAGTTCCTAGGAAAAGAATATTCAAGAATACCTGAAGGTTATATAAAGTATTTAAGTGAATGAGAGGGGTTAATTTGGGAATAGTTGATAAGTTCCTTTTGAATCTCCATAAAGTTATTAAGTTTCCAAGGTTATTAATATAACTAAGGACAATAAAGAAGGCAAGACAAGTGAGAGGAGGCGAATAAAAATACAACATTAAATGCAATTTTTCACACGCTATGTCTGTAGTTTACCTGAGTAACTTCCTAGACTAAGTTGGTACTTAGTCCTGTCGCTTGTAACTGCAAACATGTCGTATTCAGCGTAAGCGGTTTTGCCTGTAGTGTCCTCCAGATCAACTCGAAGCCTGTTATTTGATTTGGTCAGCCGGTTAATCTTGTCCAATCCAAGCCAAAACTCGCCATTCAGGTTACCAAATCCCCGCTTGTAGTCAGCCCAGCCGCGGTAGAAATCAACCGAGCCGTCCAGTCTCTTTTGGAACACTGTCCACCCCCCTCCAGTTGTTGTTTGGTCACAGAACACATCAAAGGCACCTTGACCATCAGGGTCGATTGTATAAACATCGCTGATTCTTTCGCCAGCTTTGTAACGCTCAGCGCAGTTCTTTTTAGCTGTTAAGAAAAGATTTCCTTCAAATTATTTTCAATCTCAGGCTTGCGAAGAAGCCGCTTGAAGCCACTGGGAGGCTAGGACGCCTATTTCCTCTTCCTGTCGCCCCCTGCAGGCTTACTACTAGCTCCCTAAAAATTGCTGTTATAAATGGGCGTGCGTGTATTTTTTAGGGTTATAATGATACTATAATTCTAATGATGATATTAATTTACTGAACTTATTTGGATTGATAATAATTTATCCACAGTAAAATAATACTTCGTTTTGAGTAGCAGTACTGACTTTAGCGCCTGGGAGGGCGCCCTTGGGATCATGATCAATTTTAAGTGTTAAAACGCTTACTTCTCACTAAAGACAAAATGTTGGCTTAGGGAAGGGGTAGGTGGGCAGTTTCCCAGAAACGAATAATGATCCAAGATGTTGAGGAAGGGAAAATACAGATTTTGGTGTCACTTATATTTTTGCCGAAGGAGGTATCGTTTAGGGTTAATGGCAAAGAAATGTCTTAATAGAAAACAAATGACGCTGTACTGTGTTGGAGTATGGTCTCCTTTAGGGGTCCAAGAAAGCCTTAGACACGCTCAGATTTACTCTCCTTCGGGGGTGTGGGAATCCGGGGAATCCCCTCCTGGGGGCAGGATCCCTGTTACTAGTAATTGTCGACATTTAGTAGATTATACTACATCGTGTGTAACTGCATCATGCAAACGAATACTTAATGAGATTATGTGGGCACAACTGATCTTTTTTTATGAGAAAACTACTTTAATGCACTAAGTTATCGAAGCAGCGACTTACGTTTGCTTTATCCGGATTATCCTAATCTTGGTTGGGTTTTTCAAGGACCGACAATCACTTAAAAACAGGATATACTACTAGCCACTGTTTTTTCTATCTTTTACTAAGTTTTAAAGAAAGTGGACCAAGGCTCTCTTTTTATATGGGAATTAATTGAACGAGTTTGTTAGCCCTAGGTAGGAACGTTATCAAGAATTCCTTCCTTCAGCCACACCACAGGAGGAAGTGCTTCGAGTCAAAGCTGTAGCCTTTCTATAAACAACTCAAAAACCTCACGTAGGGGTTTGAGTTAGGACATCTGGCCCCGGTTGTTCAAATGTTGAATAGCGCTATCCACCGGATAAATCGCTAAGTATCCGGTGGATAAGTATTAGGGAATTCATTTGTGTTATCCACTGGATAGCGCTATCCACCGGATAAATCGCTAAGTATCCGGTGGATAAGTATTAGGGAATTCATTTGTGTTATCCACTGGATAGCGCTATCCACCTTTTGAACAACTGAGGCCTGTTGTAAAGTGGTAATTATGCGATTCCCGCAAGTATTTTCATAACAAAAGCTCTTACGATCATCAACGACTGAACGGCATTTGATAAGTGGGTCTAGACACACATACACAGGAAGAAATTCATACCTTTCTCATTAGTCTTGTTTCCTTTCAGGACAGTTGATGTCAGATTGTACTGACAAGGATGTTCCTCACCTACCATAGGGAAAGCATTATTTCAGTTTTTGGTCTCACTTTATAGGGTGTTCAGAGGGAGAGCCAATATTTTTACCCCAGAAGGTATCGCTTAGGGTTGTTCGCAAAGAAATAAGAAATAACTAAATGAAAAAGAAATATCGTCATAATGTGTTGGAGTATGGCCACCTTTAAAGGAAAAAAAACTGAATGCAAGGCTGGCACTGCGGCAAAGGTATAGCTCTGGCCCAGAGGAAGGCTAATTTTGTTAGCCGAAATATTGCGCTATAATAAATCAGCCCTTTGTCGTAGTACCAGCCCTGTATTCAGTTTTGTTTTATTTTACACTTTAAGTAACGCCGTCTGGCTATAGCATCTCTTTGATTAGAGATCCGGCAAGAGGAACCAGTCAGTTATATTTACGTGTTGCATGACCCTCTGCATTCAAACAGTTTTTTCACCTTTAGAGGTCAGCTTAAGCCACACCCAGATTGGTATCATTTGAGGGTATGGGAGTCCCTTGTTACTAATAATTGTGGACATTTAGAAGGTTATTCTATATCGTCCTTGACCGCATCATGAAAACGGTTAATAAATAATGTTATGTGGGCACAATTGACATGATTTTGACAGCACTAAGTTATCGAGGCCTCGACTTACGATTTGCCTTATCCAGATTAACCCATCTTGGTTCGGTTATTCACCAATCGACATTTACAGTCGTGTGATAAAAACGGGAGATGTAGTTAGTCTCTACTTTTTGTCTACCCAGGACCCAGGTTGTCACCCTATATGGGAAGAACACCCTTATGGGAAAAACACGAGTTTGTTTGCCCTGTAGTAAGAAAGCGTGATCAAGGAATTCCTTCCTTCAGCTTCACGGCTATATGGCGAAAGTATTTCGGGTTAACTTAGCTGTAGCCTTTCTTTTAACGGCTCAAAACCCTCACGTTGAGGTTGCTCTTATGATATCTGGTTTAAAGAGATTAATAAATGAGTTGTTGTGCGATTCCCAGTTTATCAGAGAATTAAAAAGCTCGTATGATAATTGTGATAACACGAAATATATTCCGATGACTGAATTGCATTTGATAAGTGGGTCTAGACACACACAAAGACCTTAAGGAGTTCATACCTTTCTCATTAGTCTTGTTTCCGATCTTTTCATTGATGTCAGTTTGTACTTGAGCCAGTTGTTCCTTTATTTCTTTCAGCATTGTAGCAATTTTCTCGTTGGGCGCCTCGTAGAAATACACATTATTGCAATGCTGGATTTTTTTAGGAACCGTGGTCGCACCTACAAGAGGTCTCTTTGCTGGTTTAGCGAAGGTTTGGTGGCTGTTCACAAACAACAATAAGATCAGAAGACTCCAACTTGAAGACACGGAAATACAAGACATCGTGCTTCTTCACTTTTTCTACGTTGAATGGCAATGTAAAGGGGTGTCCGGAAAACTAAGACCTAAGACCTGCGCGAAAAAAAATGAGCAGACAAAAATTGATTTCCTGATCCCGCGAGAAGGAAATCGATGGCCCTCGAGTAAGGTTAAAGGGAAGTAGGTACATGCTCAGTGTGTATTGAATCTGACGCGTGCCGGTGTTTTCGGGACACCCCAGTGCAAAGTCCAAAAAGACAATTGAAAACCGGAATGCAACGTATCCTTCAAACACAATTTAAAAAAAATGTGCCATGCGGATACTAGCCTTTTTTGGTCTTTCTAATGTGATAAGGTAGTATTGCACTGTGAATACGGATTAGAAATTCCGTCACTGTAATTACAATTTAACCAAACTAAATTCTTCTTTATGATTTTTTTTATCGATACTAAATATGCTTCGAAGAAACTCTCTAGTATTCGCAAAATTATAATGTGGAGGGTTTTCCTGTCCTAATCCCCATCTTATTCTGAGATGTCAAAGTCGGGACAATCTGTTATTATTATTGGGTCTTTCTCTAATTTGGTCCTGACTGCCTGCTTCAGTGGTCGATCCGAGTGCGCGAGGGTCGGAGGAGTCCGAAAAGCCGTAATGATATCCGTCACGTCCGTCGGCAACTTCGTACCCAGGGCTTTTACCTTTTCCCATATTTTAATGGAAAAGGCCTGAGGACGAGCTTGGTCCGACCTACGGATTCTTAGGCTATGTTGACACTATACCGGAATGGTAGAACACCTATCCGATATGTGACTCTGCTTTAGAGATCGGCGCCGCGGAGCTTCTTCGCGACGCCACAGCC